CTGTCCTCCGGCAGCATTGGTGTCCCTTGGGGAGCATCACCCACAAACGGCTTCTTTCCCTCCATCTTGGTGACTTCTGGTTCTCTGTTCCTGGGGCGACTACAGAGGCCACCTCAGCTGTGGTCAGCCGAGCTCGTGGGATGTCAGCTTCTGTGTTCACTGCTTGTCCCAGGCTTCAGTCTGCCCTGGAGATGGGACCTCACTGGCAGGGAACCCCACCCTCAGCCGCTCCTCTCCTCTCAGGTGTCCCCAGGTGTCATTGCCAACCCCTTTGCAGCAGGCATCAGCCACCGGAACAGCCTGGAGAGCATCTCGTCCATCGACCGGGAGCTGAGCCCTGAGGGCCCAAGCAAGGTCGGAACTCCTGTGGCTGGCAGCCAGGGCTGGGGACCTGAACTGCTGATGCCTGACTTGTCTGCTCCCTCACAGGAGAAGGGACTGCCCAGTCAGACCCCACACTGGGGGCCTGAGGCTGTGGAGGCCACGGTGAGTCCCATGGGGCCTGGCTCTGTGCTCCGGGCTGCATCCTCCCCTGAAGCAGTGCAGTCCATGCCCAGGCACACAGCCCAGCTAGCAGTGTCACTCTGCTCCCCAGGGCCAGAGGCTGGAGCCCCTGAAGCTGGACTACCGTGTCCTGGCTGCTCTGCCCGGCACTGGCAGTGTGCAGAGGGTCAGTGTCCCACGTGTGCTGAGTTGCACCCTCCTGACGCCTTGTCCATCTGCCCACCAGCCTGTCAGCTCCCTCTTCACCTGGCCAGCCACTGCCAGGGGCTGAGTGCCGAGGCCACCATGGAGGAGCCTCTGTGGGGTGGGGCACGGGCTGGGGTTGGAGGAGCCCAGCCGCGTCTTACCCTTTACTTCTTGACCTTAGTCACGCGTGGAGGGGGGTCCTTTGAAAGCCCCCGACCCCTTCCCTGCCTCATCCTTACCAGTCAGCTGGGTATGGGGAACTGAGTCCAGCCTGTGGCAGGCAGAAGGGCTCCTGAGGTAGAGGCAGCTGGAAGTCACCAGAGTCTCTCCAGGCTCCTGGTGGGGGAGGGCGGGCATGAGCAGCCCTGGAATGGGTGGGCATGAGCAGCTGCAGAGTGTCCTGGGAGGCCAGGGTGAGTGGAGAAGGGCTTAGCATTAACTGGGTGTGGCATCCAGGGCACCGGGTCTGGGGACAGACAGGAAGGACATTCAGCCCCCATTCCTCCCCAGGAGGTATAAATAACACTGGTAGAGGGTGAGCCCAGTCAGCTGCTGCTGGGAGACCCCACAGGAGTGTGAGTGCTTCAGGGGCGGGTCGGGGAGGACGCTGCCGGAGCAGTGGGGGAGGCGCTGAGTGGCCTGGTGGGCCTGGGGACTGAAGGAGCCTGCTTGGGCTTTGGGTGTGGACCCTCCTGCTGCACAGAACCTGGAGAGGGCAGCAGGGGTGGGGCCTAGCACCCTCCCATTAGGAGGGGGCACAGTGGCTGGTGGACCGTGGGAGGACTCCCTGGCTCTCACTGCTGGGGTGTCCTGGGTTTGGGGGCCCCTCTGCACAGCTTTGGGCTGCAGCTGCTACTGTGAACTCACACTCAGCTAGCTGCTCAGCCCAGGCCCAATCTCCTGCCTTCTTTTTAAAAATATTTTGATTTTTTAGTGTACACAATACCCATGTTTTTTATTTATTTTTATGTGGTGCTGAGGATCGAACCTAGGACCTCGCACATGCTAGGCGAATGCCCAGACTCCTGCCTTCTGGCTGGGGCACACCCTTTGTGGTGGCCAAGCCTGTCCCGATATATCCCTGGGGGTGTGGTTGGTCAGAGAATTGAGTAGCAGCTTCTGTGCTGCCAGCATGGGTGCGTGCTAGGGACCCCCAAATCCTTTTACTTGGGGGACACAGTTCTGCCTAGCCCTCCCCCACCCACCAGCTGGTTCCTGCAGGTACCATCTGGAACAACTGGAGGGAAGATGGCGGAGGCCCCCTGCTCCCCTGGAGGCCAGCAGGTGAGCATCTCTGCTGCCCCCTAGAGTGCTGTAGATGGGTGCTGTGTGGAGCTGGCCTCCACAAGGGGAATGCTTGTGCTCCTGGAGGGGATCCAGCCCTCCCTGAACGTGGGCCAGCACCAAGGACCCACCGGTATACTCACCCCTTGCCTGGGTCCCTCATGCCCCCCCATCCTGCTGCGAGAGGAGGGCCAGGCCTCGGGCACCCCTCATCCTGCCCTGCAGGATGGGGTGGGCACTTGGAGCCCAGCCGCCAGCCCAGTCCCCGGAGGCTGAGGCATTCAGGTGCATGTCCCCGCCCCTGCTGTCCAGCTTGCCTCCCTCCCTCTCTCCCTCCTTTCTTGGACCCCTGATCCTGTACTTCTCTGCCCCCTTCCCTGCCCTTTGCAGACAAAACCCGGGGTGATCCAGCCTTTGGCTCAGGCCTGGCCAAGGGGCTCCCCGGCCCCCAGGGGCAGAGGTGATCCCCGCTCCGTGAGTGTCCTATCCCACAGGGGGTAGGGGGTGGCAGTTTCCTTCCCCTCTACGGGACAGGGCGAGGGGGGGATCAGTGGCAGTCCGTGGAGACAGCTGGTGGCTGGTTGGGCGGTGGCTGCAGTGGACAGCTGCCCCCCACCCCGCCTCACGGGCACTCCGCCCCCAGACGCCCTCCCCGCCCTCCCCGGAGGAGCTGCCCGCCAACGTGAAGCAGGCCTACAGGGCCTTTGCCGCAGTGCCCGCCGCACACCCTCCCGAGGACTGCGCTGCCCAGGTAGGCGGGCGCCCTGCGGTGCGGGGCACTGAGTGCGGGTGGGTGCCCGCGGAGGAACTCTGGCCGAGTGTGAGGTCCACCTCCCCAGCCCCCCGCAGCCTCCCCGGAGCAGCTCTCCTTCCGCGAGCGGCAGAAGTACTTTGAATCGGAGGTGCGGGTGCCCCAGGCCGAGGGGCCCCCCAAGCGCGTGTCCCTGGTGGGTGCCGACGACCTGCGGAAGATGCAGGAGGAGGAAGGTGAGGAGGGCGGGAGGAGGGGCGGGGTGTGTGTGTGTGTGTGTGTGCCCGCCTGACCCACCCACCTCCCCGCAGCCCGCAAGCTGCAGCAGAAGAGGGCGCAGATGCTGCGGGAGGAGGCCGCGACCGCGACCTCCGGGCCCAACATTGGGCTCGCCCTGGACCTGGAGGCCCCTGAAGAGGAGCACCAGGAAGACGAGCCGCTCTGGGCCAGCCTGGGCGGGTGAGCTCCGCCCCCTCCCCCCCACCCTGCCCCGCTGTGCCCGCCCCCTCAACTGGCCTCCCTCTTCCCTAGGCCCAGCCCTGCATCCCCGCTGCCCGCAGGAGGCAGCGCCCCTGTGCGAACAGCCAAAGCTGAGCGGCGCCACCAGGAGCGGCTGCGCATGCAGAGCCCGGAGCTGGCGGCACCAGAGCGGGCCCTGTCCCCAGCGGAGCGCCGGGCCCAGGAAGCAGAGAAGCGGGCGCTGTGGAGGGCGGCCAGGTAAGTGGGTTCCCCCCGCCCAGACACCAGACACCTTTCCCCCCCCCCTCCCCCCGCGCCGCGCCCACTCCCTGGTCTCCGCCCACCCATTGGTCTCCGCAGGATGAAGTCTCTGGAGCAGGACGCTCTGCGCGCACAGATGGTGCTCAGCAAGTCCCAGGAGGGCCGGAGCAAGCGAGGGCCCCTGGAGCGGCTGGCCGAGTCCCCCTCGCCCGCTCCCACCCCATCGCCCACCCCCTTGGAAGGTCGGTGTGTCTGGTAGGAGGGGGGGGGTTCTGCCAGCTATGGGCCTTTCCCAAAGCCAGTGTCTTGTACCCCAGATCTCGGCCTCCAGACCAGCACCACCCCGGGACGCCTGGTGAGCCACCCGCAGCTGTCTCCCCCCCTGCACCCCTGCGGCATGGGGGCGGCGGTGCAGATTCCCCCACACCGCCCTCACCTCTCTCCCTCGCACTTTCTGCCTCTTCCCCCTCACGCTGTCCTTTCAAGCCCTTGTCTGGAAAGAAGTTTGACTACAGGGCGTTCGCAGCCCTCCCTTCTTCCAGACCTGTCTATGACATCCAGGTACTGGCAGTCTCCTGGCCTTCTGCACGCGCATGGGCCCAGTGCACGCTCCTGCCACTCCCCTGTGCCTGTCCCACCTGAGCTCTGTCCACCCCTGCTTTTTCCCTGCTCTTTCTCTGGTGTGGGGCCTCCCCCCTCCTCTTCCCTCCCGTCGCAGCCCAGCTGTGCTGTGCCCTCACCCAGGCTCTGTGGGCCTCAGAGCCAGGGGGACCGGCCGGGTCCACCAGGGTGGCTTCAGCCAGGTCTGGACCAGCCCTGACCAGCCCCTCTTCCCATCACAGTCGCCAGATTTTGTTGAGGATCTGAGGTCCTTGGAACCAACTCCTAGCCCTGGTAAGTTGGTGCTGGGCTGGGGGTAAGCTCCCAGGGTGCCTGGTCACCCTGGGCTTACTTCCTGTCCTTGCCCCCGCCCCGCCCCCAGGCCCTCAGGAGGAGGATGGAGAGGTGGCCCTGGTGCTCCTAGGCAGGCCCTCCCCCAGTTCCCTGGGCCCTGAAGATGTGGCGCTGTGCAGCAGCCGTCGCCCCATGCGGCCTGGGCGCCGGGGCCTGGGCCCTGTGCCCTCCTAGGGGGCGGGGCCTCCCCAGACTTGGGGTGGGGGCCTGCCAGCTCCAACACCACCCTTGCCCCAGTCTTTTAACCTGGGTGTTAGCATTTTAAAGAGACCCCTCAGGGGCCTGGCCTGTGCCTGACTGCCCCACCCCAAGCGGGTTCTCTTGGCGAGACTGTAACTAGTGACGTTTGTACAACCAAAGACTCTATTTTGTGGTTTAAGGAGAATAAAATTGACTACATTTTAACCCCTATGTGTCCCTCCATCCACCCACCCACCTGCAGCACTGGTCTGCCCAGCAAGGCTGGTGCCCAGCTGTGCCTGCCCATGCATGTCCTCCCTGCTGAGGTACCTGCCTGCCTGTCCCACGTAGGGTCCTCCCCCCATGTTTTCTAGCAGGGTTCCAGACTGGCTGGGGCGAAACCTTCCTGCTCACAGTCACAGACGTGTTGCCCTGGGCAGGTTTTATTGGGGTGCTGCATTAGTGGGGCACCTGTACCCGCACAGGGAGCAGCACCTGCAGCTGCTCCACAGGTGGCCACTGGACCTGGGTGACGAAGAAGAGACGAAAGTGGGCCAGGCGGGCCTCCTGGAACTGGGTGGGGCCAGACTCAGGCCCATCCGTGGGCCGCAGCAGGGAGAGGTACGGGTCCTGGGGTCCTGGGCCAGCAACTCCCGGCTGAGCCGTGCTGGGGCCAGACCAGGCTGCACCGCCTCCAGCTGCTGCGGCACTGCAGGGAACAGGTCCACCTCCCGCAGGTCGAACACCAGTGGCTTCCCATGCCTGTGGGGGTGCTGGGCAGGGCAGGGCAGGGCCTGGCCTGGCTGACCCCTCCCTGCCTCACCTGAGTGCCCCCAGCAGAGCCAGTCGGATTCTCTCAGGCCTCAGGTGCTCTGGGTTCACAGCATCCCCATAGTTGGTACCCTGGTAGCGCAGGAAGGTGGCTGCCTGGCCCGAAGGGTCGATGTCAAGAGGCCACCTGGGGGCAGCCACTGGGTCATCATCAGGTGAGCACACCCCAACTTACCCATGCCCAGACAGCACTGACCGGCCGTCAGCACAGATGCGGTCACCCACGTCCTTCATCAGCACGTCATGGAGATCCGTGGCCTGACACTGGAGTCCAGGCGCTTCCTCCTCCTCTGTGGGGGAGGTCAGGGTGCAGCCCGCAGAGATCCTGGTGTCCAGCACCCTCCCTGGGCCTCCCCTCTCCAGCCACAGGCTGCAGCAGAGCCCTGCCCACCCTCCTGCGTCTGTTCCCGCAGCTCCAGCCTGGCCATGGCCAGCATCTCTCCCGCCTTCTGTGCCTCCTGCCGCAGCCTGTCCACTTGGGCCTCTGAGTCCTTTATGGCCTAGAGGAGGGGAAACGCTGACCACCACTGGCTCTGTCCCCCACTTAGCTGCCACCCAGAGGTTTCTCTGCTTCACATTGGGCCCATGGACAACCTGAGGCCCCCAGCCAGGGCTTCCCCTCAACCCCCCTCCACCCCGGAGGCTGCAGGCTGCAGGGAGACCGCTGGGAATGGGAGGGCAGGACAAGGGCACCCAGGCCTCTGAAGGGAAGCCGCCCACCTGCAGCGTGAGCTCAGTCCTGCCCATGCACTGGCGCTCACACTCCTCGCGCTCCGTGATTCTCCGGTTGAGCTCGCAGTAGGCCTGCTGCAGCTGGGGGGAGGGGCCGGCCCCCAAGAAGGTCCTTCCACTGAAGGTCCTTCCACTGTCCCCTCCCTATTTGGCTCACCTCTGAAGGGAGGTCAGAGGCCACTGCTCACCTCCTTGTGACACCGTTGCTGCTCCTTGGCCAGTTGCTGCACCTTGAGGTTCAAGCTGGGGGGAAATGGGGCAGATCAGAGGGCCCCCCACCAACACCCACTGCCCCGCTGCCCCTGCCCCACTGCCCCTGCCCCTCTGCTGCACCGTTTGGCCTCCGCCTGCTTGTGTCTCTCATCCTCCTGGGCCCGGCGCTGCCGCTCGGCCTCCATGTTCTGGAGCATGGCCTCAGTGAGGCCCAGGTCCCACGTCTGCAGCACGCTAGCTACCGCGTCCAGTGAGGCCACCTAATGACAGGATACTTGTAGTTGCACGTTGGACCCCGCAAGGAGTCACTGCACTCTCATGTTAGAGAAAGGGCAGTGCAGTCCAAAAGCGGGTCCTTCATGGGCCCAAGACCTTGGTCACCATGCTTTCCAGACTACCCAGGGTCTTTCTGGGCTCCTTGCTCAAGTCCTGTGGTAGGGTCTGGAGGCAGACCACTCCTCTGCACGCTCTCCCCAGCCCCCAGTCCACTGCTCAGGCCTCCAGGCCGCCCACAGTCCCTGCCGGTCACCCTGCAGAACTCACCCAGGACCCCTCCCTCCCAGCCCCGCCTGGTCTGCATGCTGATGCCTGCCACGTGCCGCCAGCAGGGGGAAGCAGGCCCTAAAGCTGAGGGCAGGCCCAACCAACCCTCCCTCCCTCCAGCAGCAAACCCACCACCCTGGGGAGGGCGTGAGCGGGTGGTGCTGCTCCTGAAGGCCAGGACCAGCGCCTGACCCCTTCCACAGGGGCCTGCTGTGCAGGGGGGGGTGGGGGTGGCTCCCTAACAGCTAACCCCCCCCCCCCGCCATGGACACAGCTGGAGGCAGAGGCAGGGCAGAGAGGGGTCCTGTCCCATTGGGAACTGGGCCTGGCAAGCAGAAGCCCAAGGAGCCCGCATCACCTGGGCCTGGGGGTGGGGCCTGGAGAGGAAGCACACAGGTGTGAGGCTGGAGGCCGGCCACAGGCAGGTAGTGGGCAGTGTGAGCGTGAGGTGGAAAGGGAGGTGCTGAGCCCAGACCAGATGGGGGTGAAGGGACGAACCCTGGAGTGCTTCATGACTGATGAGGCGGAGGGCTGGTGAGGATGGGTGACGGGCAGCAGAAGGTTCGTCCATCCCAGGGGGAGGGATGGAGAAAGGTTGCCCAGAGGGAGAGGTGGCCCAGGAAGCCCAAGCAGGCCGCGCGTGGGAGGGAAGGACCCAAGGGTGCCTGAAAGTGGGTTGATGGGGAGAGTTCACAGAGGGAAGGGGATGGTGCTCAGGGTGCCCTGGCTGTGTGCAGATGCTGGAGGCAGATACGGGGGGAGGGGCTGCCAGGAGGGTTGTGGGCCTCCAGGAGGCCAGGGATGTGGCTGATGGGTAGAAAGTGGCCTCTCAGGACCTGTACATGGACGGGTTCAGGTCCGCCAGTCTCTCCACCCTCTTGCTCGATTCTTTATAGCAGCTGTTAGCTCAAAGCCCTCCCAGAGCCAAATTCAATTGCTTTCAAAACATCTCAAATAAACATTCTCAGAGGCAGTTTGATTTGCCTACCCTGCAAAACTGCACTCAGCATCTACCAGTGGCAGGTAAGACAAACCCTAGGGCTACCAAGACCCCCAGGCTGGCAATGACCCTCTGAGCTCTCTGACTTGAGTTCCTCAAGAGGCACTAGGGCCAGGCGAGGTGGCTCATGCCTATAATCCCAGTAGCTCGGAGGGCTGGGATAGGAGGATTGCAGGTTTGAGGCCAGCCTCAGCAATTTATCAAGGCCCTAAGCAATTTAGTCAGACTGTCTCAAAAATTAAAAAGGACTGAGGATGTGGTTAGTGGTTAAACACCCCTGGATTCAACCCTTAGTACAAAAACCAAAAAAGAAAGACAGGCTCGGATGGATGGATGGATGAATGAATACAGGTGGAGGGTGACTGAAGGAATTTACAGTTTGTGAATAAATATCCCACTCTAATCCTTACTTGTATTGGGGTTTTTTTGGGAGGGGATATTTTTATTTCTACATGTTTTTTTTTGTTTTGTTTTTTGGGTTTTTTTTTTTGGTACTGGGGGTTGAACCTAGAGATATTCTATCACTGAGCTGCATCCCTAGCTCTTTTTAGTTTTTACTTTGAGACAGGATCTCACTAAATTGTCCAGGCTGGCCTTGAACTTGCAATCTTCCTGCCTCAGCCTCCAGATTTGCTGGGATTACAGGTGCACACCATCACACCCAGCCTGGATTGGGTTTCTAAAGACTGCACCCTTAGGATAAAGGTGACCCAGAGTTAGGCCCTCAAAGAGACTTTGGCTTAGCCTTGAAATTGGTAGGGTGACTCCAGGCTGTCAGTGCTCAGCACAGGTCAGGGCAGTAGGAGAGCCTTGGTCAAGGGAGGTGTCATTTTGCTGGGCTTCAAATTATTGCTACAGATAAAACATGACATGAGGGGCTGGGGATGTGGCTCAAGCGGTAGCGCGCTTTCCTGGCATGCGTGGGGCGCTGGGTTTGATCCTCAGCACCACATAAAAATAAAATAAAGATGTTGTGTCCACCAAAAACTAAAAAATAAATATTGAAAAATTAAAAACATGACAAAAAGGCACAGAAAATAACAGAAGACAGTATGAGTAAAAACTTGCTAGACTACAGGTTACAGAGATAATCCACAGGGATCCAGAGTTTGGAGTTATCAGCTACAGATGTCAAAATAATATATTTATTATGTTCAAGGAGATGGAAGCCTAGAGTGAGATTTTTGGTAAAAGCTGAAAGATGTGTGCACGCACGCGCGTGTATGTGTGTGAAATGAAATTTCTAGAAATTAAAATTAGCCAAATTAAGAAGAAAGCGTACATATTTAATAATCAGATAGATGTAGCTGGAAGAGAGAATTAGTGAACTGGTAGAAATGTTAGAAGAAAATATGCAGAAAAAACCAAGACAAAGTAATGGAAAATACAGAACCAAGTAGTTATTAGAGCTGTCCACTGTATATGTCCACCCCTCCACCTTCTAGACTAACGATGGGATCGCACTTCCTGATCGGCTGTGGTCATGGAGTCAAATGGCTTAAGGGGTCTGGCCAGCGAGCTGCAAGCAAAACTGATTTGCACCAGGCCCTCTGGAGCGCTCTCCCTCTGACCAGCAACATTCAAGTGCAGCTGCACAGGTTAGGCCTTTGATTTAGAATAAAGGTGGCAGAGGTGAGTACGATCTTCTGAAAAATGTGCCAGGAAAGTTGTACACTCGCATGAGACACGAACATGACGAGGGACTCAACAGGAAACACATGGGTACCGCACAGACGTGGATTCCAGTGGCTGCGGGTCTGAACTCAAACATCTGGCAGATTGAGTAGGAAAAGATCTCTGTGTCCGTGGGGATATGAAGAGATTTAGACTGACACCAGAGCACCCAGCATGAAGGGAAAGAGCCCTGGAGTTCACTGTAGTAGGACACAGAGAGTGAAAGAACAAGCATGTGTGACCCATGTTGAGGCTTGGTTTGGAACCGGTGAAGAACACTTCAGGCCGACAGGGCCATCTGCCACTAATGTGCACAGGCACTTTTTTTTTTTTTTTTTGGTAACCCAGGGGTGCTTAACAGAGTCTTGCCAAGTTACTGAAGCTGGCCTTGAACTTGCAACCCTCCTGCCTCAGCCTCCCAAGCTGCTGAGCCACCACACTCAGCTGAACAGGCACTTCGTTAAAAAGAGGTCTCAACACCTGTCAAGCATAAGGCAGATTTCTCTCCTTCACTAATTAAAAAGCAGAAAGATGCAAATGAGAACCACAGTGAGGCACCATTGCATGCCCACTGTAAACCTGCACTGAGATACTGACAATGGCAATATTCACAAGAAGCCGCTATGGAATCGCCATACAATCCAGGACGTGGCGACTTGGGGAGAGGGACGGGTTCTGGCAGTGTTTTTGTTTTTGCATTTACATTTGGGTCTCTAGTCCATTGAGTTAACTTTGCATAAGGTGAGGTTCAGGTCAGGGCCTGTTCCTCTGCCTGTGGAAGTCCAGCGCTCCAGCCAATGGAGATGGCTGGTTTCCTGGCACATCACACCAGCAGCAGCGCCCAGGCACAGCGGGACGCGTCTTCAGCAGCCCCAGACCCTCACCTGTGCTCTTCCACACCTCAGAGCCCACTGATACCCTGCTAGCCCAGGGACCTGGGCAGACAAGGGGAAGAGCAGGGCACAATAGGCCGGGCCTAGAGCAGCAGCCACAGGGTGGCGCCAACGTCCCAGGCTGGGCGAGACCCTGGCAGTCTACCCTGCCCTGCAGGCCTGAGGCCCATCCTGGGACTGACTTCTAGGCAGCCTCAGTTTATGGGTGGGACCTGAGTTGGGGACTGGGGGCCATAAATTGACTTAAAGGAAATGAAGGTAGCAGGCATGTCCTGACCTGGTTTCCCAGGGGCTCTTAGGCTCCCAGTAGCCTCCTGGGCCCCACAGTCCAGGGGCCTGGGAGGAGCCCAGCCAACACCGCCAGCACCGTGGGAACTCCAGCCAGCCCCTGGAGTGGCCAGCCTCAGCCTCCTCATCTAGGGCTCTAACACTGCCTCCGGGTACGGGTACAGGAGCATGGAGGGTAATAAGGCAAACCTGCACGGAAGTCACCCAAACAACTCAGGTGGCTGTCACCTTGACTGCAGGCAACAAGGGAGGATTTTTATTTTTTGTTTGGTGCTGGGAATTGAACCCAGGGCGCTTTGCCACTACGCCACATCCACAGCCCTTCTTATTTATTATTTGGAGACAGGGCCTTGCTTATTTGCTGAGGCTGGCCTTGATCTTAGGGTCCTCCTGCCTCAGCCTCCCAAGTCGCTGGGATTACAGGCGTGCGCCACCGTGGGGCGACAAGGGAGATTTTGAGTCGGCGCCCGCCCCACACCTGCTCCGGGGTGCTCCCGTCGTCTGCGTACACTCGGGGGTCGGCTCCGAGCTTCAGAAGCAGCTCCACGGCCTCCAGGTGGCCCCCGAAGGCTGCCCGGTACAGCGGCGTTCTGCCGAAGGCGCCCTGCGCGAGGGGCCCCATGAGCCGCCGGCGGCTGCGCTGGGACCCACGACCCCACGCTGCCCAGCCCGCGGGCGCACCTTGCTGTTGGGGCTGGCGCCCAGCTCGGCCAGCAGCTGGATGACCGTGGCCTGCCCGCCCGCGGCCGCCTCGGACAGCGGCGTGTTCCCGTGGCCGTCCTCGCACTCCACCGTGGCCACGCGTCGCCGCAGCCGCCGCGCGCGGCCCTCCTCGTCGTGGCCCACGCCCTCGCGGGTCAGCAGCTGCTCCACCTGCGCCGGCCCGCAGCGCGTCACCTCGCCTCACCTCGCCTCACCTCGCGCCGCCGCGCCCGCCGCGCCCCACCGACCTCCTGCAGGACGGCCCGGATCTCGCCCACGTCGCCCTCGAAGGCGGCGTCCAGCAGGCGACCGCGGCGCCGCAGCTCCTCCTGCCGCTCGCGCTGCGCCACCTCCTCCTGCTGCCGCTGCCGCCGCGCGGCCTCCTGCTCCCGGCGCACCGAGGCCAGGTAGGCCTGCGGGGCGTGGCCCTGGGGGTCACTGCGCCCTCAGCCCCGGGCGGACCCCGCCCAAGCCCCGCCTCGCCGCCGCCCCCACGCCCGGATCCTGGGCGGGCGCCCGCGCTCACCTCCCTCTGCAGCTTCTCCATCCGCTCCAGGTACTCCTGCCTCTCCTGCCTGCGCAGGGCCAGCGCCTTCCTCGCCAGGTGCTGCCGGAAGGCACACTGGCTGCGGGTGGCCGCTTGGACCTCCGGGGTGGGCCCTGGCCGTGGGGAGAAGATTCACATGCACCTAATCCTTGCGGGTGCCCCTAGCTCCGGATCTGCCAGATGAATGGAGCCTGCACCATCTGCCCCCAGAGGACCCACACGTTCTCAGTCCAGCAGCCAAGCCTGAGCGAGCCAGCAGCACAGACCCCGCAAGCAGGGTCAAGAGGGAGCCAGGAGGAAGAGTGCCCGGCCTCGGCAGGAAGTCCCCCACCTCCCTGCACCCTGAAAGTTCTCAGTGAGCCCACAGCTTGGAAAGTCACCGTCTGGAAAGGCTGCCAGGAAACCCCGAGGACAGGTGACGAAAACAGCCCCGAGCAGAGAAGGCCCCAAGCAGAGAAGGCCCGTGAGCCCACCCCAGGAGGGGCCCAGCAGCCACAGACACAATACAGACGCCAGGCGGTCTCCAGCCACAACCCCACTGGACTCAGAAGAGGGCAGACCCAAGCCCCAGCTAAAGAGCGGCTGCCCCTGGCTGGGGTCACCTTAGAGGGGTCTGAGGGGCTAACCCTGCAGATGAGGTAGGAACCGAATCAGCAAAGGAGACAAAGGGGCCCTACAGACCTGACAGTGAGGAAGGAGCAGCCAGAGGGAAAGGAGGGTGCAGCCCAGCTTGGGGGGGGGGGGCAGGCCACCGAGAGCCCTAGGAAGAAGGAAACTCAGAACAGACCACAGGAGGCACAGGAGACTGGGCCAGCAAAGCCCTGGAGGGATCAGTGTCTCCAGGGCGTGGGACTGACCATGAACAAAGGTGAATTCTCAGAATAAGAAAATCCTGCAATGAAGCCAGGCACGGAGGTGTGCATTGAGGTCCCTGCTACTCGGGAGGCTGAGGCAGGAGGATGTTTAGAAACCATCTGAACAACACAGAAAAACTCAAAACAAAAAGGTGAGGGAGGGAGGCGCGCAGGGCTGGAGACGCTGCAGATCCGCGACCTGGAGCATCGGAGGTGGTGATTGTAGCTCTTCAAGTCTGCAATTTAAAAAAATGGCCTCCAATAAGACTACATTGCAAAAAAATGGGAAAGAAACAGAATGGAAAGAGTAAAAAAGTTGAAGAGGCAGAGCCTGAAGAATTTGTGGTAGAAAAAGTCCTAGACCGACGTGTAGTAAATGGAAAGGTGGAATACTTTCTGAAGTGGAAAGGATTTACAGATGCTGACAATACTTGGGAACCTGAAGAAAATTTAGATTGTCCAGAGTTAATTGAAGCATTTCTTAATTCTCAAAAAGCTGGTCAAGAAAAAGATGGTACCAAAAGAAAATCTTTATCTGACAGGGAATCTGATGATAGCAAGTCAAAGAAGAAAAGAGATGCTGCTGACAAACCAAGAGGCTTTGCCAGAGGTCTTGATCCTGAACGAATAATTGGTGCCACAGACAGCAGTGGAGAATTGATGTTTCTTATGAAATGGAAAGATTCAGATGAGGCAGACTTGGTGCTGGCAAAAGAAGCAAATATGGAGTGTCCTCAAATTGTAATTGCTTTTTATGAAGAGAGACTAACTTGGCATTCTTGTCCAGAAGATGAAGCTCAATAACTATTTGCATTGTTTTATTTATTTATATATATATATATATTTTATATATATATAAAATCTGGGTCTTGGTTTTTGATTTACTAGTGTGAAAAATAACTACATTCTAATGAAAATCAAGTTTGATATGTTGGTTTTGAAAGTAGTATTGGGGAGTTGTTGGGTTTTGTTTTTTGTTTTGCATCAGTAGCACTGGTTACTTTGAACAAATAAAAGCTTTCTGTAGTTGCTTCCTTTATCAAAAAAAAAGGTGAGGGAGGGAAAGGAAATCCTGAAATGAATCTTAAAAGGGACAAAAAATATGCCGGTGATAAGACATGAACAGCTGCACCACGTACAGCCGGGCCATTCAAGTACCCCCACAAAAGAGCAGATGGCCTGCGGGGACTGGGCCTTCCTACAGCAACCCAGAGGAGGCTGCCAATCCGGGTCCCCAAAGCTGGGGCGGCAGGTAGCCTGAGCAGATCCTGGGTGGAGCGGAGTCTGAGGCCTTGGAGAGCTCCGAAGTGAAGAGTCAGGGCCTGGAGAAGGAACCCGAGGCAGCCCAGGTCCTGTGGCCAACAGATGGAACAGCTTGCAAGGCAGAGCCTGGGGCCAAGCGGACGCGTCTGTACTCAGAGGGCTCGGCAGGGCTTGGGTTAGGGTGGCCACAATTAGCTAACTAAAGACAGGACAGGACTGAGGACATACACCAAAAAACGTGTCCTGCCTTTTACCCAGCAACCCTGCTCTGGTAGGCGTCTGAAGGGCTGCACCCTTCAAGAAATAAAGCAGGCCTCGGGAGCCAGCGCCAGCCCCACACCTGGAGCTGCCTCCGCCTTGCTGCCGGCCAGACGCACCGACCCCCCAGGAGAAAGATGACCTGTCCACGACTTCAGCGCGTCTCCAAGATGCTCCACATACTGTGCTCAGCTCACCAGAAATAATCAGGCAAGTGAAGAAAACAGACATGATTGAGAAATGATAAAAGTTGGACAAAAAACAGACCCAGAGAGCCAGCCATGGAGTCCCTAGACCCAGGCGCTTAAAGAAATCTTTGGTTCTTTTTAGTTACATGTGACAGTAGAATGTATTTTTTAGAATTTTTTTTTAGTTATGTATGGACTCAAGGCCTTTATTTGTTTTTATGTGGTGCTGGGATCAAACCCAGGGCCTCACACTTAGGTGGTGAGAGCTCCACCACTGAGCCACAGCCCAGCCCCAGGAGAATGCATTCTGACGTGTGTCTCTCTCTCTCTCTCTCTCTCTCTCTCACACACACACACACACACACACACACACACGGGGTATGACTTCCCATTCTTGTGGCTGTACTTGGTGTGGAGCTGCTGGTCATGTGTTCATATATGAACACAGGAAAGTGATATCTGATTTGTTCTACTGTCTTTCCCATTCCCATTGCCCCCTCCCCCTTCCAATCTGGTGAGCCTCCACCCACCCCACCCCACCTATGTGAGTCAGCTTCAGCATATCAGAGAGAACATTCAGCCTTCGGTTCCTTGGGACTGGCTTATTTCACTTATCATGATAGCCTCCAGTTTCATCCATTTACTGACATACCATGCTGTAATTTCATTCTTTACAGCAGAGTAATATTCCATGGTGTATATGTACCACATTGTCTTTATCCATTCATCTGTTGAAGGGCACCTAGGTTGTTGGTTCCATAGTTTAGCTATTGTGAATTGAGCTGCTATAAACATTGATGTGGCCAAGTCACTATAGTATGCTAATTTTAAGTCCTTTGCATATATCCTGAGGAGTGGGATAGTGGGCACTGCGCCAGGCCCCACAGCAAGGCGCCGACTCAAAAAGAAAAGAGAAGAGGGGAGGACCGGGCCCAGCAGGCAGACGGGTAAGAGGGGAGCACCCAAAGGCGTTGGGACCCCAGAGGAGCTGGGGTAAAGAGGGCTGGCGTCAGACCAGAGTTTTAAAAACTATTCGTTGCTTATAAGGAACATATCCTAAGGCTAAAGACACAGGAATGACAGCGACGAGGAGACAGGTATTTACTATTGGACTATCGGTGCTATGTTGACCTCAGGCCAGGGACTTGAAGGTGACAGTGTCACTGACTGGAGGAGAAGGTCTCGGGCGGCTGGCTCAGTGGGAGGGCTCTGCCCACGGCGTGTGAGGTTTCAGCACCACATACATATAAATAAAAATCACGTCCAGTGACAACTAGAAAGCATTTTTTAAAAAATGTTTCAAATGATTTGGGGATCAATTCATCAAAATAAAACACAAAACTGTATGTCCCTAGCAATGGGGCTTCAGAATATATACAGAGACTACAAGTAGAAACAGTTGACCTACGATCACAATGGAGCTTGAAACCATCTCAGCTAACAGACAGATCACAAATCAGTGAGGATCACAGATTTTACATGGCATTCACACACTCGGTACATAGAATATTGGACCCAGTAATGGTAGAAGGCACGTTCTTTTAGACAGACATGGAAGATTTGCCAAAAGAGATCATATAAACTATAAAGCACATTTAAACAAACTCACTGCTGAGATCATATTGAATCTATTTTAATGCCATTGAAATCAGATGACAAAGTGTGACTAGAGACACCTACATATTTAGAGATCATGAATTGCACTTTATAATAGCTCACGGTTCACACGGGAAACCGTACTAAAAACTGGAAGGTGAGTTAACAACAATGCTACCCGTTAAAGCTGCCCAGCCAGGCACAGTGGGCACACCCCTGGACCCCAGCCACTCCAGAGACAGACAGGAGCCCACTCAGAGCCACTCTGGGTGCTTAGCAAGGGCTGGCGAGGCAGCTCGGTGGCGCAGCGTCTGCCGAGTGTGTGCTGGGCCTGGGCACCACACCTCAAGGAGGAGGAGGAGGAGACAGAAGAAAGGCCACCCAGTCAGGAGCTGGCAGTGAGGTGCAGGCACACCCATGATGGAGGGGACCTGGGGACATGCAGCAGCCCTCCGTCCACTCTGCTGGGAGCAGGGCCTTCTGTGGAACACACAGCCTGTGGGAGAACCCGCTTTTGTCACCTGGGCCACGGACTTGTCCCTGAGGCCCTAACTGGTCCAGGACTGGTGGTGGAGTGCGGCCTGACCAACAGTCCTGCCAGGCCGAGTCCTGCCGGCTGGAGGCCACGGAAGCGCAGGCATCTTGCCCACAGGAAGGCGGCATGCAGGACACCCAAGCTTCCTGGAAGTCCTCTGGGTGGGTGCGAAGGCCACCATGCCCCTCTGGAGCGCAGAGCTCTAGAAGTGGTCAGAGAACAGGACGCCGGCGACACTGGTCACTGTCACTGCTGTTGACAGGAGGTGCGCTCGGGAGGGAGTGGCTGTTTTGAAGGAGAGATGAAAAGGCAGGTCCAGAAACCTGGGGGCCACCTGGGTGTGGGTGACCACTCCTTCTCACCCAGACAGTAAAGAATAAAACTGAGATGGCCTTGGAGTGACCAAGGCAGCTGAAACTCGGAGTCCCTCAGGGGTCTGGTACAGGGGATGGCACCACACCCACAATTAGAGACCTGCCCCACCTCCCACTGGACCAAGGGCATGACCCCCACTAAGAAGAACCAGGAAGACACCCCGCCCCACGCAGAGACCAGGGCCCAGGAACGGGGGAGGCTCTCCTCGCCCCCACAGAGCCTGACTGGGCAGAAGGACAGCTCTTCCCCAAGGACTCCAGGCCAGCCATGGAAGGTCACTGGATGTCGGGGTGAGTGGCCAGGCTTCGAGGAGGGCCACTGGACACCTGGGGTGGCGGGGAGACTAGGGAGAAGCAGTTTTTCCCCATCTCAGCAGATCTCCCCCAAGATGCTTATGGGACAGCAGGGCAGGGACGGCCTCAGCCCAGCCATCAAGGGGCACCACAAGCCCCAGGCCCGGCCAGCCCCGTGGAGCCAGACAGAGCCCCAGGGAGAGGGCTGGACAGAGTCACCTATACCCTTCAAATGTGTCAAGGTCATGAAAGAAAAGTTGTGACTGCAGGGAGAGCGGCCGGCTGCAGTAGCTGGAGAGTGACAGAGGACCGCAGTGGGGCGTCCTGCAGCAGCTGGCCACACCTCAGGGTCCTCCTCGGGCAGCCCTGCTATCAAAGCTGATTTCCTGGTCCTGGACCACCATGCTAGCAAGGAATATGTGGGGAATCGCATACTGATTTTGTTAATTTTGTGTAAGTCTAAAATCAATAGAAAATAAATAAGATTTAACATTTTATCTAGATAGAGATGTAAGAAACACCTCTGTAAGGGCCAGTCACTGTCCATCTTTCCTGTGCTGGTGGATAGATGCCCCCATTATGTGGCTGCTGGAGGACAGTAACGGAAGAAATGGGGTCCTTGGGGGAGTCACCCCTAATTCCCAGAGTAGAGCCGAGGGGCCCTCTGACTGTCCTCTGCGCGTCTTGGAGAGGCCAGGCGGAGGCGGAGCCTGCACTCGGTGCCCGCATCCTGCACTCACGGACTCCAGGTCGACAGGGGCCAGCGCCCCGCCGCAGGGTGAGCCCTGGTCTTGGGCTTCTCTCTGCGGGCGCTGCGGCCCCTCTGGCCACCCTTCCTACCCCTCTGCACGCCCCAGAAGTGACGCTCTTCCTGGAAATGACCTCTGGACACATCTCCTGGCACCCCAGGACACCTCAGAAAAGCCGGCATTCCTCTGTCGGCGACATGACCGCGGGCCCTTATCTCATGCCCTACACACGGCAGGGTGACTGGCTGCCCTCAGGGGGCTGCAGGCGCTGGCAAGGGACCAGCACCACACGCCACGACCCGCAGGGCTCAGCCCAGCGCCTGGGCAGAGTCCTCCATCTTTCTGGCTTGAGCATCTCATTTAAAAATGTAGAACTTCCCGCCTTTGTGCATTTCTGAATGGACACCTAAAATGCCTCATAAGTTAAATAGTTACAAAAGGTCAGATTTCTGTCTGGTATCCTGAGAACTTTAAGATAAAACTGTTACTTGACTGTGGAATACAAACATCGTGACCTTTTAAACACACACAAGTTTTTAATAATCAGAAATGATCCATTTTGCCTTTCTCCTTTATATCTATCACACTCTCTTCAGTGATTTCTATCCTCATCAATTTTAGGCTTTTTTAAAATCAATAATCCTATTATATACTTATTGACAAAAAGAATCATAGTTGGACTTTATGTTCTTTTGAGGGCTATTTTTTAAAACTTCCCTATAGGTTCTACATTTCTAAAGATCCTTCTGGGTCCTTATCACTATCACGGTCAGCATACGATCATCCACAATAAGATGCACTCAGTGCAAGAGTCGGCTGCAGAATCACAAACAGAACAGAAAGGCCAGAGAGGTCTCTGGTGAAGTCGCCAGGGCCCAGCCTCTCCCCTCCTGGCTTCTCCCGCCAGCCACGCGGTGCCGGACAGTGCCGGGGGGTGGGAAGACCCACAGAACCCCAGAAGTGGGTGGTATAGTTGCTCCCCTCCTGCAGGCTCCCCAGAGGTGCCCCAGGGCAGTGGCAAGGCAGAACGCCACCTGGCCTCAGCCTGCTCACGCTGTTCAGGGCGGAGCCTCCTGAGGGGATCCTGACGAGGGCTGTTCCTAGGGGTGCGGAGCTACACCTGCCCGCACAGGGAGTGTTCCTGGAGAGCTCCCACAGACATGGGACTCTCATTTGCCCTCTTCCTGAAAGTCACAAGGGTCCCTCCGTGATGAGGGTCTGGTTGCCACGTCCAGCTCCTATCCTCCTCCCCCAGCTCCATGGAGGTGCTATGGGTAGAGGCACGGTGTGAGGTTCACATGAACACAGGAAAGGGGTGTCTCATTCATTCTACTGTCTTTCCCATTCCCATTCCCCTCCTTCCCTCCCTTCCCCTTGGCCTGATCCAGTGAACTTCCATTCCTCCTCCCACCCTGCTTATCGTGAGTCTCACCCACATATCAGACAGAGTATTCTGCCTTGATTTGGGGATTGGCTTATTTCACTTAGCATGATAGTCTCCAGTTCCACCCATTTACCAGCTAATGCCATTATTTCATTCTTCTTTATGGCTGAGTGATATTCCATTGTGTATATATACATATTTACTGACTTCAACAGCACCAAGTGTGATCTGTAAGAGTTTGTAGGAGTGATTTTTAACTTTTTATAATAGATGTGTATCTACTTTGTGGCAATAAGTGATAAAGTGGACATATCGACATATATTTCATGCATTCATGACAGGTGTAACTTTTTCTTAATTTTTTATTATTTCTAAGCTATGTGGTTCATGAGTTTTTTTCTCATTGTCACAAATTTTGAAATAAATAAGTGTAAGTAGACCCAAGCACTTCAGACCTGTGCTGTTGACAGGTCAGCTGGGGTGGGAGGTCAGTGGTATAGAGTGTGCCTACTGCCTGTGAAGCCCATGGTTCGGACCCTAGGACCACACCAAGAGCACAAATGGATCAAACTCTCTGTTATGGTTTAGATGTGAGGTGTCCCCCAAAGCTCATATGTGAGACAATGCAAGAAGGCTTAGAGGTGAAATGACGGGGCTGTGAGAGCCTTGACCTGGTCAGGGCATTAATTCCTTGATAGGGTTAACTGGGTGGTAACTGTGGGCAAGTAGGTGTGGCCACAGGAGGGGGTCCCCGGGGAGTGCTTTTGGGGGTTATATATTGTCCTTGAAGATCCCTCTCCCTCTCCCTCTCTCCCCCTCTCTCTCCCCCTCTCTCTCCCTCTCTCCCTCCCTCTCTCTCTCCCCCCTCCCTCTCCCTCTCTCTCTCTTCCCCCTCCCCCTCCCTCCCTTTCCCTCTCTCTCTCTCTCTCTCTCCCTCTCCCTCTCTCCCCCTCCCTCTCCCTCTCCCTCTCTCCCTCTCTCCCTCCCTCCCTCTCCCTCTCCCCCTCTCTCTCTCTCTCCCCCTCCCCCTCCCTCCCTCTCCCTCTCCCTCTCCCTCTCCC